GGAATGAATAGTAAGAAAATAAAGCTATGAAAGCAACTATCACCTTGTAACATCATTATGTAATCATTATGTAAATACTAAATAAGGCCTGGGGTAGAAGGCGTTACCTAGCAGGTACAACCCCATGAGTTCAATCCCCAGTATAACAAGTGTAAGTGTGTGTGTGTGTGTGTGTGTGTGTGTGTGTGTGCGCGCGCGCGCGCGGTGTGTGACTTTCTCTTTTCCTTCCTATTATTTCACTCAATTTTTGTTCAAAGTTTACAATTCAGTTCTCTGTTAATAAAATTTTCAGATATGAATGTCACTGGTTTTAATAATTTTTTTTTTCCGGGGCTGGGAAGGTACTCAGTGGTAGAGTGCTTGCCTTGCATGCATGAGGCCCTAGGTTCGATTCCTCAGCACCACATAAGCAGAAAAAGCCGGAAGTGGTGCTGTGGCTCAAGTGGTAGAGCACTAGCCTCTAGCTGAAGAGCTGAGGGACAGTGCCCAGGCCCAGAGATCAGGCCCCACGCTACAGCGCCACCTCCGGCTTTTTTCATTTTGCTTATATGGTGCTGAGGAATCGAACCCAGGGCCTCAGGCATGCAAGGCAAGCGCTCTACCACTGAGCCATCTTCCCAGCCCCATGACCTACAAAAATTTTTTAAAAAAAATTTTTTTTTCTTGGCTACTGGAGTTTTGAACTCCAAGCCTTCCTCTACAACTTGAGCCAATCCTAAGCCTGGTTTGGGGGAATTGTTAACATATCCCAGAGAAGAATCAATAGGATTGTACATCTCCTCATGTTGCGGTTAGGTGAGACTATGTATTGAATATGCATTTCCGAAAGATAGTTACACTTAAAAAAATGTAAAAAACAGATTTTCTTGGGGGGGGAGGGGCTTGAACTCTGGACCTAGGCGCTGTCCTTCAGCTCTTTAACTCAAGGCGAGAGCTCTACCACTTGAGCCACAGTGCAACTTCCAGTTTTCAGGTGGTAAATCGGAGATGAGTCTCCCGGACTTTACTGCCTAGGCTGGCTTTGAACTGCAATCCTCAGATCTCAACCTCCTGAGTAGCTAGGATTATAGGCATGAGCCCCAGCACCTGATTTATGATAATATCTTTCTAAACCAAACCTTCCAGAGTGGGGACTCTTCAAACTGTATTCTGCTTTGCCAGCTGGACCTATGCTTGGCTATGCCAATAGGGGGCACTAGAGGAAGACTGCAGAGCTGGAAGGGAGGAAATTTCACACCTTGGTACTTCCTGTTCCGTTGACAGTAAACCCAACAATGAATGCTCTTTCACCTTGGCAGAGGCAGTCCTTGCCTGAATAGAAACTAAGTTTAGTTTCCAGGTATTCCGTTAGGCTTTATCATGCCCTACCTCAAAGACCCCAGGCATCAGCCAGCTTGGCACCACTTCCTCATAGTGGCCCTGGCTCTGACCCTGTAAGTCATACTAATTCTAGACTTTACTTTGTTCCTTGCTGCAGAGATTGGTCATTGCTTCCTGCTGATGCTACCTCTGTAATTCCATACCTTTCCAGTTGCCTACTGAATAACTTTGTCTGGGTTAATTTTTTTTTTGCCAGTCCTGGGGCTTGAACTCAGGGCCTGGGGACTGTCTCTGAGCTTCTTTTGCTCAAGGCTAGCACTCTACCACTTGAGCCACAGCAGTGCTTTTGACTTTTTCTGTTTGTATGATGTTGAGGAATCAAACCCAGGGCTTCATGCATGCTAGGCAAGTACTCTACCTCCAAGCCACATTCCCAACCCTATGTTGCTTTTTAATTGATAGAATTGAGCATGTGTGTACTCTCAAGGGAAAGGAAGAGAGCACAGGTTCAGAGAGTCAACAGTGGAACATGAGCAGAAAGAGACTTTATTTTTTTTCTTTGCCATACAGGGGCTGACCCCAGGGTCTTATGCATGCTCGACTAGTGCTATGTGTCAATCCCACATCTGTTAAAGTTAGAGGGAAGGACAGATACAATTGGACATTGGGAGATAGGAGGTAAATGGAAATTCAAGTAGCATAATTTAAGTTGGATTCAGTAGGGTTTAAGATTACAAGAGGTCCCAGCCACCATGGGCGAACCCCCATCAGTACTGGAAAGTCTTCCTTCCTTCCTTCCTTTCTTTTCTTTTGTCTGTCCCTCCCTCCCTCCCTCCCTCCCTGCCTCCCTGCCTGCCTGCCTCCCTCCCTCCTTTCTTTCTTTCTTCTTTTCTTTTGTCCCTCCCTCCCTCCCTCCCTTCCTTCCTTTCTTTTTTTTTTTTGGGGGGGGTCTGGTCGTGGGGCCTGAACTCTGGGCCTGGGCGCTGTCCCTTAGCTCTTCAGCTCAAGGCTAGCGCTCTACCACTTGAGCCACAGCCCCACTTCCGGCTTTTTTTTTTTCTTTTTGCTTATGTGGTGCTGAGGAATCGAACCCAGGGCCTCAGGCATGCAAGGCAAGTGCTCTACCACTGAGCCAACTTCCCAGACCCTCTTCCTTTCTTTTGTCTGTCCCTCCCTCCCTCCCTCCCTGCCTTCTTCCCTTCCTCCCTGCCTCCCTCCCTCCCTTCTCTTTCTTTCTTTCTTTCTTTCTTTTTTTGGTCCAGTCGTGGGGCCTGAACTCTGGCCCTGGGTGCTGTCCCTCAGCTCTTCAGCTCAAGGCTAGTGCTCTACCACTTGAGCCACAGCGCCACTTCCGGCTTTTTTCTTATGTGGTGCTGAGGAATGGAATCCAGGGCCTCAAGCATGCAAGGCAAGTGCTCTACCACTGAGCCACCTTCCCAGCCCCTTTCTTTCTTTCTTTCTTTCTTTCTTTCTTTCTTTCTTTCTTTCTTTCTTTCTTTCTTTCTTTCTTTCTTTCTTTCTTTCTTTCTTTCTTTCTTTCTTCCCAGTCTTGTGACTTCATTTCATAGCTGAAGAGCTGAAGGGAGGGAGCTCATTAGGAAGTTGACTCTAGGTGGGGCTCTTCAAATCCAGAGCCTTGGGCACCAAGGGTGTGGCTAGGCAGCCTTTGGTATGTGTACCAATTAGTGGTGCTTGCCTCACTGTAGACTTCCCCTATGTGTATTATTTCCATTCCCAGTCTCTCCAAAACTAGCCCCTAGCTTTCTCTTTTCTTATACATTTTCTCAAGTTTTACAGTAAGTGGCTTGATAGACAAATCCTAGGAAAAACTCCCAAAGATTCCTGTCTCCTAGCATTCCCACCTCTGTGTGATTGATCCTTACTCTTGCCACTATTAGCACCTTGTGACTTGTTTTGAGCCATAGAATAAAGCATGCCAGGCACCTGTGGCTCACCATTATTAGCCTAGTTACTCAGAGTTCTGAGACCTGAGGATCAAGATCGTGGTTCAAAGACAGTCCAAGTAGAAAAGGCCTTAAGACTTTTTTTTTTTTTTGGTGGGCTTTGGGGCTTGAACTCTGGGCCTGGGCATTGTCCCTCAGTTCTTCAGCTCAAGGCTAGCACTCTACCACTTGAGCCACAGCGCCACTTCCCATTTTTTGGTGGTTTATTGGAGATAAGAGTCTCACAGACTCCCTGCCCTGGCTGGCTTTGAACCATGATCCTTAGATCTCAGCGTCCTGGGTAGCTAGGATTATAGGCTTGAGCTATCAGCACCGGGCCGTAAGACTCTATCTCAATTAGCTAGCAACAAGCCAGAGTGGAATGTGGTTCAAGTGGGACAGTGCCAGCCAGTCTGAGCAAAAAAGAAAAAGAACAGGAGGCTCTGACTTCAAGCTCCAGTACTAGCACAATAAAAATAGAATACAGCAAAGGTGACATATTATCCCTGTCTGACATATTATGTCATATGAAGCTCTGTGTTAGGACTGAGAGTAAGTTCAGTGGCACAAAGCTTGCCTAACACAAGGTTTTGGTTTTGATCACCAGCACCACCAAACAAAAACAAAAGCCCTGTGTTTTAGCAGCCTGGGCCTAGAAACTTTCCCTGTGAGTTTCATTAAGAAAGAAGCTTCTATATTAAGAACTGTGATGGTCTCTAGAAAATGCAGGTATAATTTGAAGAAAGGTCTATCATAGCAAAAGTTCCAGGAACCCAGCCATAAGACAAGAAACAAATTTTGCCTACAAATTGAGTGAGCTTGCAAGTGCACTCATCCCCATTTTTTTCTTTTGTACCAGTGCTGGCGCTTGAACTGGGGGTTTCACATTCCTTGTTGTTGTTCAGGGTTAACACTCTACCACTTAGGCCACACCTCCACTTGGGATTCTTGCTGATTAACTGGACATTAAGATCCTCTGGGTCTTTTCTTCCTGGGTTTGGCTTTGGACAGTGATCCTCAGACCGCACAGCCTCCTGAGTAGTTTAGTACAACAGATGTGAGCCACCAGCCTCAGGGTGACTGACTCATTCCCATTGGGGGCCTCAGATCACAGCCTGGGGGACCCCTGCCCTGCAGCCTTGTAAGGCTCCAGGCAAAGGATCTAAGGACGAAAAGATATGTCTGGACGCGACCCGGGCGGGACCCTGTAGATCAGGTTGCTGTGGGTGTGCACTTCGTTCCTCAAACGTGGAACACAAGTCTCCCAGGGATTCCTGGAAACCCTGCGCCTGCGGGCACAACCCCTGCCTTAGGGACACGGAGGAACCCCGGGCCGAGCGCGGGCCTGGGACGCGCGGACGCGAGACGCGCCGACGCCGCTCGGAGCTTGTGTCCCCGCGCCGCCAGGATCTCCCGCGTGGCCGTCCGCGGGCGCTCTGCAGAAGCGGGAGCTCCGCGTCTCGGGGTGCGTGCGGGGCTCCAGGCTGCTCCCGGGTGCGCTCGGCCGGGCCCCGCAGCGGCCTCGCGCTGCGCCTTCCCCGGCCCGGGCGGAGGGGGCGCTGCGGCGGGAGGCCGGGCGCGGGGCGGGGCGGCGCGGGGCCGGGCGGGGCCGCCCCTAGCCGGCGAGCGAGCGAAGGAGCGAGAGAGGGAGGGAGGGAGCGAGGCCGCCGGCGCCGCGCGCGCTGCCTCCGCCGCAGCTCGGCCCCGGCCCCGGCCCCGGCCCCGGAGGCGTCCGGCCGGCCCGCGGGGCGCGGAGCCCAGGCCCGCGGCCGGCCGCATGAAGGACTGCGAGTACCAGCAGATCAGCCCCGGGGCCGCCCCGCCGCCCGCCTCCCCCGGGGCGCGCCGCCCCGGCCCCGCCGCGCCCCCCGCCCCGGGCTCGGGGCCCGCGCCCTCCGCGCCCGCGGGGCCGCGCTGGAGCGCCAGCGAGAGCCTAGGCCGCCGCCCCCGGCGCAAGTGGGAGGTGTTCCCGGGCCGCAACCGCTTCTACTGCGGCGGCCGCCTCATGCTGGCCGGCCACGGCGGCGTCTTCGCGCTCACGCTGCTGCTCATCCTCAGCACCACCGTCCTCTTCTTCGTCTTCGAGTGAGTTCCGGCCCCGGCCCCGGCCCCTCTCCCCTGCAGTCCGGCCTCTCTGCCCAAGTCCGCGGGAGCACCGGGGACCCTCCGCGCCCTCCTCCCCCCCAATCCCCGCCTCCATCCTTGGACCATCTCTTGCTCACCCAAGTGCTCTCCACTCCCCCCTCCCGGCCTCTTTCCTTTCTGTGCTTCCCTGACAACTTCGAAGTTTCAGCGTGCTTTGCTTGTGTGCAACCCCCATCGTGAATTTCCTGGGCGTCCCTGCAGGGCCCTTGCTCCTCTCAGACTCCCCCCTTTGCCCTCTCTCCAGCCCCCTTCCACCCCAGGCATCCTTCTTCAACAAGCCTGGGGCCTCTGAGACCTCCCCTTCTCTCTCCAAATCTTTCCTCAGTTTCTACAGTTCCCTGCCCCTCGCTTCCTGGCTTCTTTCTGGGACACCCCCTTCCCCCCGCCCCCACCTTTTGCAGAGTGTCTTCATGTGACAGGCCCTATTAGCTCCTGTGGATTTGGGGGTGTCTCCACTTCCCAGATGACCCAGGATGGGCCCGCGTAGCATCTATCTCCTGGGTGGAAGAGTGGGTGCTCAGCTGCTTTCCCAGGCCACCTACGTGCACGGCAGGTTTGCACCCCATCCTCCAGCTGGAGCCGCCTGCGGAGACACGATACCTTGCACAATGCTCCCACTCCTGCACACCCACACCAAGGGCACTGCCTTCCCCTCCCCAGCCCTTGGGGTCGTCTTCCTTTATTATACAGTGCACTTAAGAGCTCCATCTCTGGAGCCAGCAGATCTGGCTCAGATCCCAGCCCTACCACACACTAAATGGGTGACCTCAGGCCAGTCACCTCTCAGAACCCCAGTTTCCTCAGCTGTAAATTGGGGCCTTTAAGAATACCCGCCCCCGGCGTTGTCATGAGTCTGGTTACCATGACACATGCCAACCCTTAGCTTGGTGACTAGCACTTGATGTTGGCTGTTAGTACTTGTGTCTTTACCAAAAAGTACTGCCCGAGGTCACGTGGCCATGGTGAGGCTGGCCACAGGACACCCCACACGGGTCCCTCCCCAGCGCCAGGCTTTGTATCCGCAGTGCTCTGTTTCCTCTGTAAGCAAGGTAAAGATGCCCTATCAATCGCCCTTCCTTTTGCCTTCTTGCCAAGTGCTCCGTCTTTCTGGGTGATTCACAAGCAGGAGCTCTGGGGCTCCAGCCCGCTCGCTGCCTGGTCCTTGCTCTGAGTTTCAGGTCCACCTGGCGCCGTGATCACAGTATGCCTTTTGCAGAATGCCAGACCTGATCTTACAGCTGTGGTCATGGCTGAAGGAAGTAGTGCTGTTTGTGATGTACCTTGTGACACTGTAGTGTGAGTTCACTGTGGTGTGAGTTGGGGTCAGTTCAGAAGCAGGGCCTCTGGCTGTGTGGGTGTCCTCACTGGTGGTGACTGGACTGGTCCCCCAGGCCCAGAGAGAGCTTGTCTTTTATCTTCACTTCCTCAAGTGAGGGGTCCCCTGATGAGGGACTCCCTCCTTCCCACTTGCCTGTTGCTCTGGGACGAGTGTGTCTGGGCCCTTCCTTTCCTGCTGTGGTTTAGTGGATTGTGGCCAGCCCAGGCTTCCCATCAGAACTCTCAGCTTCTGCCCTGCTCCTCACCCCACATAGCAGTCAGAGCACCCCTCTCATTCCAAGTCACCCCTCATTCTTCCCTTGTTCTCCCTCTCCCAGTAAGAGCTAGAGCTCTGATACTGGACTTCTTCTGACCTCAGCCCCCCTTCCCCCCTTTTTTTGTATGCATGCTTTAGGCTTGAACTTAGGGCCTGGGCGCTGTCCCTGAGTTCCTTTGCTCAAGGGTAGTTGTCTACCACTTGAGCCACAAGTCCACTTCCAGCTTTTTGGATAATTAATTGGAGATAAGAATCTCACATGCTTTCTTGCCTGAGCTGGCTTTGAACCTCCATCCTCAGATCTCAGCCTCCTGAGTAGCTGGGATTACAGGCCTAAGCCACCAATATCTGGCTTCAGCTCTCTTGTTCTTTTTTTCCCCAAGTCTTCCACTGTGCATCACACCCTCTCTCCCCTGCACTGGCCTATGTGGGGCGCCTACTGCAGGGCCTTTGCACTGCAGCACCCTCAGTCTCACTTTTCACTCTTTCCAGCAGTCTGTACCATGTGTAGACTCATTTGGTAGTTTCATGCCTGTCCTTGTCCATAAGAGTGGAGTATTGTTTTCCTCCTGCCTAGAATTAGTGCCTGGTATGTGGCTCCACACAGCAAATATAAGTTGAATTCTCTTGTTGAGAGCCCAGAGACCCTAGGCTGTCACTGACCTGGAATCTGATGGTGGGCCCTGGAGCCCCTCTGGGAAATGAGGAGCCCAGGACTTGGTGTTTTCTTAAGGCTCTTCACGTCTTCTGTATCCTCCTGAAGGAGTCTGGTTGTACTTGAACTTGGTGAGTTGCCATGTAAGTGACACTGAGAGCCTGGCCGATTTCTCTTAAGAGGGTTGTACCTGGGGTGGCCTGAGGTGTGGAGAGAGCATGGCCTTAGCCCTCTCTGGAGGCCAGACATCTGGTAAGAGAGGCTTCAGAAGAGCAGCGTGCAGGGCTGGGAAGGTGGCTCAGTGGTAGAGCGCTTGCCTTGCATGCATGAGGCCCTGGGTTCGATTCCTCAGCACCACATAAGCAGAAAAAAAGCTGGAAGTGGCGCTGTGGCTCAAGTGGTAGAGCACTTGCCTTGAGCTGAAGAGCTGAGGGCCAGCGCCCAGGCCCAGGCCCCACGACCAGCAAAAAAAAAAAAAAGCAGTGTTCAGATGCCTGTAGGTTTGGTTCTTGCTTCTGCATTAGCTCCTAGAACCTTGGCTGCCTTCCAGCCATCTCCCAAGCAGCATCTCCCACGGCGTCAGATCTACTCCACATCTTTGTAGGACGATGGCACAGGGCAGTGGGTCATATAGCAAAGGCCTGAAAGTCAGAGCTGGCTGGAGTCCCTTAGTACTCCTGAGCTGTGTGACCTTGGGCAGTTTTCTTAATTTCTCTGAACTTTAGAACTTACCTGAAAAGAGTGGAGCATAACTTCTCAGGGGTCATGATAAAGATTTGATGAGATTGTGAAGTGCAAAGACTACCTGTTCTTCAGGTATTATTAATAACTTACTAATTCATTAGGGCAGTGTCCATCTGGCACATAGTAAATCTTCAAAGCTGTTAGTAGCTGGGTACCAGTGGCTCATTCCTATAATCCTAGCTACTCAGGAAGCTGAGACCTGGAGAACTGTGATTTGAAGCCGGAACTGTGATTTGAGAGCCCATCTCCAATTTATCAGCAAAATGCTGTCCTGGAGGTATTGTACTGTGCTGATAAAGAATCAGCCGAAATAAGAAAGCCAAGAGAGAGCAGGAGGCCTATAGTTCACGTGTGTGTCTGTGTGTGTCTGTGTTTGTGTGTCCGCATGTCCACGTATATACGTGCACGGAGTGGTCCTGGGGCTTGAACTAAAGGTCTGGGTCCCGTTCCTGAGCTGTTTAGTTCAAAGCTAGTATGCTGCTTCTTCAGCCATAACTCTATTTCCAGCTTTATTTGGTGGTTAATTGGAAATAGGAGTCTCATGGCTTGGAACCACAATTCTCAGATCTCAGCCTCCTGAGTAGCTAGCTTCTCTACTCATTCTTGTGGGTTCCAGTTCAGTATTGTGTCTATCTGAGAGCCTTGCCTGTCCTACCGCCCTCCCTCCCCCTTAGAGCACTCATTATCCTCTGTAGCAGTTCTCTGTTTATAGCAGTTCTCTGTTTATATCTCTCTCTTCCCCACTAGTCCATAAGCCACATGGCAGAAGGGCACTTGTCTTATTCCCAGCCATTATTCCTGCTGCTTATTAAAAGTATTGCCTTGTACAAAGAATTCTGTAAATATTTGCAGAGTGAGTGACTAAGTGGACGCTTGAGCCAACATTGCCCTGAAGGGGTCATTTCCAGGGACAGTTCACCTCATTATTGTGGCTGCCTGGAGCTCTGTGTTTACTAGGATTCTTTTTTGTGTGTGTGTGTGCCAGTCCTGGGGCTTGAACTCAGGGCCTAAAGCACCATCCCTGGGCTTCTTTTTGCTCAAGGCTAACACTCTACCACTTGAGCCACAGCACCACTTCCAGCTTTTTCCGTTTATGTGGTGCTGAGGAATCAAACCCAAGGCTTTGTGCATGCTCGGCAAGCACTCTACCACTAAGCCACATTCCCAGCCCTTTACTAGGATTCTGAGGCTGCCGCTGAGTGCAAGGTTAAAAGTGCTGGTCCTGAGCTGGGTGCTGAGCTATTGCGTATATCTGTAAACCCAGCTATTCAGGAGGCTGAGATCAGAGGCCTTGGCCTTGGTTCAGAGCCAGCCAGGATAGAAAAATACATGAGACTCATCTTCAGTTAAACAGTAAAAAGCCAGGAGTGGAGATATGACTGAAGTGATAGAGTGCCAGCCTTGAGGGAAAACAAACAAAAACAAGCAGAAGCATGATGCCTGTGGTCCCAGCTATTTGGAAGTTGGAGGCAGAAGAATCACTTGAGCTCAGGAATTCAAGGCCAGTCTGGGCAGTATAGTAAGACCCTTTCTCTTAAGAAAGGAGTAAGGGGGGCGGGGGTGCTGGGAAGGTAGCTCAGTGGTAGAGCGCTTGCCTTGCATGCATGAGGCCCTGGGTTCGATTCCTCAGCACCACATAAGCAAAAAGAAAAAAAAAGCCGGAAGTGGCACTGTGGCTCAAGTGGTAGAGTGCTAGCCTTGAGCTGAAGAGCTGAGGGATAGCGCCCAGGCCCAGAGTTCAGGCCCCACAACTGGACCCCCAAAAAAAAAAAAAGAAAGAAAGAAAGGAGTAAGGGGCTGGGAATGTGGCTTAGTGGTAGAGTGTTCTTCTAGCATACATGAAGCCCTGGGTTCAATTCCTCAGCACCATATAAACAGAAAATGCCAGAAGTGGCACTGTGGCTCAAGTGGTAGAGTGCTAGCCTTGAGCAGAAGGAACAGTGCCTAGGCCCTAGGATGGGCCCCCCCCAAAAAAAAAGGAAGAAAGGAAGTAAGTGAGAAGCTGGGTGCCAATGGCTCTCATACCTATGATCCTAGCTACTGAGAAGGCTGAGATCTGAGAATCATGATGCAGAGCCAGCCCAAGCAGGAATGTTCATGAGGCTATCTCCAATAAACCACCAAAAAGCAGGAGATAGAGCTCAAGTGGTAGAGAGCTTCTAGCCTTCAACTGCAAACACAACAACAAAAATCATCAGGGAGCCAAGCGGTGGTGGCTCTTGCCTATAATCCTAGCTACTCAGGAGACTGAGATCTGAGGATCATGGTTCAAAGCCAGCCTGGGCAGGACAGGCAGGAACGTCCGTGAAACTCTTTTTTTTTTTTTGTCGGTCGTGGGGCTTGAACTCTGGGCCTGGGCGCTGTCCCTCAGCTCTTCAGCTCAAGGCGAGCGCTCTACCACTTGAGCTACAGCGCCACTTCCGGTTTTCTGGTGGTTTATTGGAGATAGGAGTCTCACGGTCTCTCCTGCCCAGGCTGGCTTTGAACCGAGATCCTCAGATCTCAGCCTCCTGAGTAGCTAGGATTACAGGCGTGAGCCACCAGCACCCGGCTTGAAACTCTTATTTCTAATAAACCACTCAGAAAACCGGAAGTGGTGCAGTGGCTCAAGTGGTAGAGCTCTAACCTGAGCTGAAGAACTGAGGGACAGTGCCCAGGCCCAGAGTTCAAGCCCCACCACCGACAAAAAAAAAAAATCCTCAGGGACAGCATCTAAGCCATGAGTTCAAGCTTCAAGACCAGCACACACCAAAAAAAAGGAGCAAGAATTGGGTGGCTCAGGCCTATAATCCTAGCTACTTGGGAGGCTGAGATCATAGGGTAATGGTTCAAAGCCAGCCCTGGAAGAAAAGTTCAAGAGATTTCATCTACAAAATACTAACAAGCTAGGCTCCGGTGGTCATGCCTGTAATCCTAGCTACTCAGGAGGCTGAGATCTGAGGATCTCGGTTCAAAGCCAGCCCAGGCAGGAAAGTCCGTGAGACTCTCATCTCCAATTAACCACCAGAAAACCAGAAGTGACGTTGTGGCTCAAGTGGGAGAGTGCTGGCCTTGAGCTGAAGAGTGCAGAGACAGTGCCCAAGCCTAGAGCAAGCCCCACGACCTCATAAAAACAACAACAACAAGGTGTGGCTTAAAAAAAAAAAAAAAAGGTGTGGCTCAAGTTGTAGAGCACCTGCTGAACAAGTGGGAAGATCTGAGTTCAAGCCTTTGTACCACAAAAAAAAAAAAAAGAGCGAGGCGAGATTAGTGGGATATCTTTATCACTTCTGTAAGGTATAGGATCCTTGCTTTTGTGTGTCTGAGGGGAGTGACTCAATTTCCCTGGGGCAGGATGAGTCTCTGACTCTGGAAGAGCCTCAGATATATCTAAGAACAAATCAGTTCTGGGGCCCTGGGGGTATTTGCTAATTTGTCTCCATCTCTCCTTCTAGTTGTCCCTACCTGGCCCACAAGCTGACCCTGGCCATTCCCATCATTGCTGCTATCCTCTTCTTCTTCGTCATGAGCTGCCTGCTTCAGACCAGCTTCACAGACCCTGGGATCCTGCCCCGGGCCACCGTGTGCGAAGCTGCTGCCCTGGAGAAACAGATTGGTGAGGCCCCTGCCCTCAGTGGAAGCTAGGCTTCCCCACTGCCCTCTCGAACATCCTGATTTTCTCTTCCACCCCTTTGCAAGGAATTAGGGATTCAGCAGTAAGCAAGGCAGGCTGGAGCTAACAGTCTGACACTGGTAGAGGGAGACAGGTGATAAACTAGGGGGCAAATAAGTAAGCAAGAAATGCTACAGCCAAGGCTCTGGAAGCCAGCCTGGAACCAAGTGATTTCTGGGGGCCAGGCACTGTTTAAGTTCTCTGTGTGCGCAATCATAGACACCCTCCTCCCCAGTAATCTTGTGAGGTATGGACTGTTGTCCTCCCTTTACTGATGGACTTAAATGAAGGGTGGAGAGGTTAAGTGAATGGTCTAAAATCACTAGAAATGGAGGAGTTGGAATACAACGGCAGGCAGTCTGGCCATAGACTCTGCTCTTAAACATTCATATGCACTTATTCATTCACTCATCAGACTTTTACTGAGTGTCTGCTGTAGGCCAGGCTCTTTCCTAGATGCTGGTGATATCTAGCAGTGAAGCAAACTGACCGTAAACTCTGTCCTCGTGGAGGCTGCATTCCAGGGAGGAGAAGGCAAGTAAACAAGCAAGTAATGAAATATCTGAGAGAGCAGAGTACACACGCGCTGGAGAATTTTAGTCGGGCATTGTTGGCTCAAGTCTAGATTCCTAGCAGTTTAATAAGCTGAGTTCTAAGGCTCAAGGTTTAAAGCCAGCCCTGGCAGGAAAGTTCATGACACTCTTATCTCCAATTAACCATCAGAAAGCCTTAAGTGAAGCTATGGCTCAAGTGGTAGAGTGCTAGTCTTGAGCAAAAAAGCTAATACTGGCACCAAAAGCAAAAACAAAAAAACCTGGAGAATTTAAAACAGGGGTGTTGGGCTGGGAATGTGGTTTACTGGTAGAGTGCTTGCCTAGCATGCCTGAAGCCCTGGGTTCGATTCCTCAGTACCACATACACAGAAAAGGCTGGAAATGGTGCTGTGGCTCAAGTGGCAGAGTGCTAACCTTGAGCAAAAGAAGCTCGGGGACAATGCCCAAGCCCTGAGTTCAAGCCCCAGGACTGGCAAAGCGGAAACAAAACAAGGGTGTCCTGAGAAGGAAATGGCATCTGGGCAAAGAGGCCCAGGCCTGCAGAGGTGAGGAGCTGGGCGTAGGGACAAGAGGGGGTACAGTAGGCATGGGGTGTGGGCTAGTTTAGGTTGGGTGGCCAGGGAAGGCCTCTAGGAGATGAACCAGAATGGTTTGGTAGGAAGCTGGGAGTCTGTTAAGGCGTGGGGAAAAGCTGGGTCGGCTGGAAGGACAGCAGGCAGGCTTGTGTGACTAAAAACAACCTGTGCTCCCAGACACCCCCCACCCGAGGTAGCCTTGATTCCGCCCAGATTGCTTTGCACTTTCCTCTGGGGAGCTCCTTCCTGGGATAGGAGCCTTCATCTCGGCTGGCTCCACTCTAGCTCCTTCCTGCTGAGAAATGACGTGGATGTTTGTACACCTCCTGGTTTCCGGTTGATGGCTGGTTCCTTCCCCTAAGAGGGTGGCATTCACACAGGCTTTTAAATGCCCAGCTGGCCCTGAAGAGATCTAGTGGCCTGTAAATGTCAGCGTCTGTCACTGGGAATCACTTAGTGCTCTGGGGCAGCTTGGGGCAGGCAGTGGGGAGTCGATGTTCTCTGGGCTCTGTTCTTTGTCTCCTTCCTCTGCCCAGCCCCACCCGCAGCTGCTTCCTTCCCCTTAGCGGTCACTGGCCTTCCTGATTCAGCGCCTTCAGTGTCCCTTGCTCTAACCTGTCTGGGCCACCTGGCAGCTCGGTAGCACCTTGTTCTCTTCCGCTTCGGGTCAGGGCTAATCGTGAGGCTGGATTATTGTCCGGCTTAGCCCTTCAGAGATCTGGCAGCCCGAAATCCTCTGCGTCCTGTGAGCCTCTGGGGTAACGATGACAGCGGTAATCCTCGTGTTTGAGAGTGTGCCCAAGGCTGTCCACCCATTATCCCCACAAATCTTCCCACTATCCGGTGAGAGTTACCCTGGTAACCAGGTGTGACAATGCAGATGCCAAGCAGGCAATCACGGGCCTGGGAGCGGCCAGCAGCAGCCCCATGCTTTGCTTTTGGGGTAGCAGCACCATGTCCTCCATGTCCTGTCTCCTCCCACCCAGTGCTGGCCTCGTCCTTCCTCTCCACCTCTGTGCTGCGGGGTGGTCATTAGGGGATTGTCCTTTCCACTGAGCTGTGGGGGCCTGGGGCTCCAGCGTCTTGTTCACCTTGTTGCCATGTGGAAAGCTGGATGTAGAAGGCTTGGAGATGTGGAGTGAAGGAATGAGTGAGGACTGGCAGCCTGCGAGACCCCAGTGAGGCCACATGGCTCATCTGTGTGTGTTCCGCACACAGCACTGGCAGCACCGGGGCAGGAATGTGGTTGGCGCCCCGCCCCGGGTGGCTGCCAGTGCAGGGCAGTGCACAGGGGAAGGCCTGAGTGGCACCACAGGCTGGATCAGGCCCTGGGAGATGATTGGAAGGGTGAGGAGTGGCTTCCTCGAGAGGTGACGGCTGAGCGTCAGTGCACTTCCGTACCACATAATTTGGGTCAATGACCAAGATGTGTATAGACAATCCATCTATAGCCTCGTAAGATTATATAGTCTAGTGACATGATAACCCTCTCAGTTTGTATAGTACACTCTGCGATGATTGCACAAGTGACATAATGACACATTTCTCAGACGATGACCCTATCCTTAGGCCATGCATGACTGTGTTTTAAAGGAAAATGTATGCCAGCCCTGTAAGTGCCAAGCCAGATTCACTTGCTCTGAATAGAAGATAATCACAGAAGCAGAAACCACAGCGTGGTGGATTTCCTGGTAGTCACTGTTCCCAGGGGAAAGCAGCCACTTTGAGGTGAGGAATGGTCACAGGATAATGGTAGGATGAGTTGAGACTTCCCGCTTGTTCCAGTCAAAGGCTGGAAAGAGGATCGAAAAGGAAAGAACTGCTCATCACATGACTCAGTATTGCTTAGTGTCAGAACAGGAAACCCCCTGTGGGGGTGTACCTGCTGCAGTCTCCTCCCCCCCCACTTTCCTCCAAGACTGGGGGATCCCCATGTTAGTCAGGGCCACTCTGTCTTTGCCTATTCTGTTCTCCCTCGACTGCACGCTCTCCTCCCTCAGGTGGTGAGGCCCACCTCATTCTTCCTGGTCATTCCTACTTCTTTCTGTTTGTATTTCAGACATGTTCTCCTTGTGTGGGCTAGAACTTACTTCCTCCTGCCTCAGCCTGCTGAGTGCTAGGATTATAGGCATGTGCAATTATGCATACTTTTTTTTTTTTTTGGTCCGGTCGTGGGGCCTGAACTCTGGGCCTGGGTGCTGTCTCTCAGCTCTTCAGCTCAAGGCTAGCGCTCTACCACTTCAGCCACAGCGCCACTTCCGGCTTTTTTCTTTTTGCGTATGTGGTGCTAAGGAATTGAACCCAGGACCTCATGCATGCAAAGCAAGCGCTGTACCACTGAGCCACCTTTTCAGCCCAACTATACACACTTAATTATCACTCTTTTTGCTTTCTTGATCCTGTCTCATTTCCCTAGCCCACTATTCCCCTTTGTATTCTTTTTTTTTTTTAAGGTAGAAAATGTTTACTGATTAAAAAAAATAAAAAGCATCCAGGCCCAGCACCCCTGGCTCATGCCTTTAATCTTAGCTACTCAGGAGGCTGAGATCTGAGGATCACGGTTCAAAGCCAGCCTGGGCAGGAAAGTCCGTGAGACTTATCTCCAGTTAACCACCAGAAAACCAGAAGTGGCACTGCAGCACAAGCCTTAGAGAGCTAGCCTTGAGCTGAAGAGCACAGGGACAGTGGCCAGGCCCAGAGTTCAAGCCCCACAACTGACAAAAAAAGGCATCTTGGCACCAGTGGCTCACACCTGTAATCCTAGCTATTCAGGAGGCTGAGATCTAAAGATCATGGTTCAGAGCCAGCCCAGGCAGGAAAGTCTGTAAGACTCTTTATCTCCAATTAACCACCAGGACACTAGAAGCAGCGCTCATACTCCTACCTCCCCTGCCTTTTTTTTTTTTCTTGTCGGTCATGGGGCTTGAACTCTGGGCCTGGGCGCTCTCCCTCAGCTCTTCAGCTCAGGGCTAGTGCCCTACTACTTGAGCCACAGTGCCACTTCCAGTTTTCTGGTGGTTTATTGGAGATAAGAGGCTTATGGATGGGGCTGGGAAGGTGGCTCAGTGGTAGAGCGCTTGCCTTGCATGCATGAGGCCCTGGGTTCGATTTCTCAGCACCACATAAGCAAAAAGATAAAAGCCAGAAGTGACGCTGTGGCTCAAATAGTAGAACGCTAGTCTTGAGCTGAAGAACTGAGGGACAGCACCCAAGCCCAGAGTTTAAACTCCACGACTGGGCCCAAAAAAAGAAAAAAAAAAAAAAAAACAGGCTCATGGACTTTCCTGCCCAGTCTGGCTTTGAACCATGATCCTCAGATCTCAGCCTCTTGGGTAGTTAGGATTACAGGTGTGAGCTGCAAATGCCAGGCTCCTTTCATCCCCTTTTGAGGAAACTGAGGCTCCCAGAGGCTTCTTCAGAGTCTCAGCCTGATAGGCAGACTCAGCAGGCTTCACAGTGAGATGGGCTGGTTCAGTCAGAGGTGGTGGAGTGACATAGTGCCTCCTACAGGACCATGCCCCACTCCAGTGTCCTCAGATTGAGCTCTTCTGGTATCCCTAGGCCCGGCACTAAGCCTGGTAGGCGGCAGGGGTACCATAAACCTTGGGGAATGAATAGATTAGTCATGTGGGAATTATAGTAACCTAGCCCTTGAGCCCTAGGAACTTGTCGACCTTGAGCCAGACCCTGGACGCTGGCAGACCACAGTCCTGGAGCTGTTTCCTCCCTTGGTGGCCACAGTGAGGCAGCAGGGAGCCAGAAACCCTGACTCCTCTCTTAAGCCTTCTCTGGTTGAGTTTGGCTTTGGCTGTGT